TGAGGAGTCAGCTCTACCAAACCAGAGTAAAAATCCCATTCATACTTCTGTTGTGGTGAGTTTGACTTTCTTCACAGATGTTGAACATGAGGAAGCCCGAAAAGCCRAGRAAGACCTAAGAATTCAACAACAACAGATGGAAGACAACTTAAAGCTGGCGAAGTCTCTAGCCATCAATGCTCTAGCCAAAAGGAAGATGAAGAAGGAAGATTCGGTCAAGGCTCAGGCTCAGCTGCTCTCACAAGCTGAACGTGAACACCGATTGTAGAAAATCCTGCAACTGCTGAACAAAAATCTTCAATTAGAAAATGGGAGAAAAATGATWTTTTGTGTCGAAACTACATCGTAACCAACTTAGTTGATGAACTTTATGACTGCTACTCAACTAAAAGTAGCTAAGGATATTTGGAATGCTCTTACTAAGAAATACGACACTGAAGAACTTTTTAGTAATAATTATGTTATCATCCTCTATTTGAGGTTTCAAGTGGTGGATGATAGATCTATCATCTCATGAGTTGTAGAAAATTGCCCAGGAGGTGTTAGTCGAAGGAATGGTGATATGTGAACAATGTCAAGTCTTGGCTATTATTGACAAGCTCCCACCTGCTTGGAAAGAGTATAAGAACATGTTGCACCATAAGAGCACGAAGTTCTCTATCACAAGCCTTCGCATCAAGGAAGAACATCGAAAGCAAGATCAGAAGAAGATTTCTTGTGTCCCCTACAACAAGAACAAATTCGATGAATTTTTKTTGCCTACCCACAAACCGATGAACATCAGTCAGAACAAGAAGACAAAAAGTCAAGGGTATAACCGAAACCATATTAAAAATAAGTATAAGTTTTTTTATGCTACAATTGTTGGAAACCTGGATTTGTATTTACGAGAGAAAATCTTTAACTTTTTTTGACAGATTATCGATGACTTTTAGACGGTAGACATTGCGTTGAAAATTTAAAGAGTTTTAGATGGCAATCATTTCCTCAGAAATCCGTTGGATTTTTTTTGATGTTTTTTCAATGAATGATCGATAAACTATATCGTCATCAGAAGTTCGTCGAAAACAATTTCAAAAAATATGATTTATCCAGCTGTGGTATTCCCTTGTAAAGTAGTCGAGATATATATATATATATATATATGTATATATATATGTATATATATATGTATATATATATGTATATATATTTATATATATATGTATATATATGTATATATAAAGAATTATTTATTATAAGGTTTAGGTTTTCGTAAAAGTTCATGAAAAGAATGAGCAGAACAAATGAAAATCCTAACTGATTCTCAATGAGATTGCTAACTTGATGTTCGGAACATAGTAGAGAACTCGATTATTTGAGCAATTTTCAGGAAAATCAGTAGGAAACGCGATTTCTTTGGAAATCAGTCTTGATTGAGCGATGATTTGAGCATCAAATTGGATGTTGATGCCGAACTGGGCATACAATTGAATGTTGGGCTTTTCAAAATTAAAAAGGCTTTTTATTGGACTTTCAATTAAAGATGAA